CTGGCCTGCTGTGTTCCTCCAGCTCCACACTGTGTTATCCCTGACTCTAGCATCTGCAGTTCTTACTATCTCTGAGAAATTTTTCTTCATTGGGATGCAGTTCTCACTAACAAGGCCAGCATTTATTGCCCATCCTAACTGCCCTTGAGAAAGTGATGAGCTGCCTTCTTTTTCTTATGTTACATTGAAGATCCTTTTCAACACCTGAATGTGCGTACAACCTCCACATCACAACCTCCTACTGTACAGTCCCAGGGATTCCTGGCATCTCAGTAACTGATACCAAGAGGCATGTGATGCAACTTTACCAGCATTTTAAGCAGATTCATCCCATCACTGCTGGCTTTCATATCTATCAGCTTTGTTGATATCGCATCTGCATATACTTAGAGAATGTGGAAAGTTGTGGGATTAAAATAATTCATGATGTTTTGTATTCTGCCTGTGACGGCAGCTATTTGAAAGTGCAGTTCTCAGGATGTAACAACGTTGGGAAAGCTGAGTTGAATAGTGATCCCCAGTTTCTCATAAAAGGTGCTGCTGGATCTTGTACTTGAAACTTCGTAGCACTTGTTGTGGAGGCATTTAAGCCTTTCACACTGTATGTATCCCTGGATAAAGAGACAACTGGTTCTAATGGGAGCCCAAACTAGAGGTGGTGACAAAATAATAATTGGCAAGTCAGTCTTAGGAAATAACCCAAACCTTGTATTTACTTGCTGATAAAGATGCCACACTTCTTCTAATTGTAAAAGCCAATGTTTTACAAACAAAAATAGTTATTTAAATCAACTTTTATAAAAAAAGAGAATTTTAAGATCTGTTATTTTCTGATGATAACAAAACAGCAATATTCAGGGCATGTACAGTTACTGCACTAAATTATTATTCCCTGTCCAGTTTAAGTGCATTTTATTTCATAAGTGAAGATTTCTGTTATTTTTACTAAGTGGCCCTGATTCTTTACTGACAAGCTACAATAATTATTTTATGATGGGTTGTTAATTCTGCTTCTGAACTTTGCAGAATGACAGATTTCTTGCTGTCCACTAACGTCAGCTAGTGCTCTCAAAAATATTTTCCAAAATTTACTTGTGTGCTTAGTGTCTAAACATGTCCACTCTTTACATCTAGTTACAATAAACGAGTCCTTTAAATACATTACAGACAAGTCAGTATCTCATTAATTATTTATTTCTTATTCATTTATTACACTTTGACAATAGAATGATATAACCACTCTCTTTAAAGGATTAAAATACTACCTATTAAATTATTACATACTAATCACTAATTGCCAATTATGACAACTACAGAAACAAATTATGTTTGATAGAATTGAAAATGGGGTTTGCACTAGTTAGTTACGTTGAGGTCACGAGTACGTGAACCAGGAAACTACAACCGGTTAAACAAACAGAGTTTGAAGTCAATAATTTATATATCAATTCCCATGTCACTATTTTCACCCTTTCACACATTTGTCTCAAAAATTATGAAAGCTCTTTCTTACAAGTCAGAAGAGGAATGTAGCCACAGAATAACTTTGGGAAAAGTGGTGCAGAGCAATTACATTTGTTTATGCGTTTGTCTTACTTTGCTTTAGAAAAGAAAATACTTACAGCAGCCACAGGAATCAGTATTTCCACAAAGAGTCCAGCAAGTGCATGTTTTATGTCTTTATCTTTCACTTCATGGAAATATTGCGCACATTCCTAGAAAAGATAATATCTTGTTGAATATTTCTGAATCCATTAACAAAAATCAAAAACTAAAGGAAGACTAACTTTCATAAGAGTTTTGAACCAGAAGTCCCATGTGATGACTCAGGATCTCCCCGAGGTCCTCGACAGCACAGATGCCAGTACACAGTCAATTCCTTTCACTGCACATGGTATCATGAAATGGCTAAAGGCACTGAACACATTATCAAGCCAAGCTGTTCCAGTACTGTTACAAAACAGGAATCTACCATCCAATGTGGAATATTGCCCATTTATGTTTTGTCCACAAAGACAGGACAAATTTGAATTCAATTAATTCTGCATTAGTACACAAGGGATCGTTAAAATGATCATTATCATCATCATGAGTGTTATCAATGCCATAGTGCAGCACTTACACAGCAATAACCACCTCACTGATACTCAGTTTGGCTCCACCAAAGCCATCCACCTCCTGGCTTCAATACAGGCTTGGTCCAAACGTGGACAAAACAGTTGAACTTCACAGAACAAGTTGTTTATTTACAAATTGAGTATCCTCAACATATGCTCAGGCAATAAAGATGTAAACCTGCCAACAGAGGCTCAATAAACTCCACCTTTAATATCTGGGATGAATCTTTGGCATCATGTGGAACAATGTCACCAATACGGCAGTCATTTCCAAAGAAAAGATGACTAGTATCCCAGAATTAATCAAGCAAAGACAGCTTTGTTGGCTGGCAGAGGCTTGGGATAGAAGATTGCCATATACACACGGATATGCGACATAGGCAGGAAGTCTGCACTAGGAGACCAGTAAGGCATCCATACCTCCAGGCTGCTGTAAAGAGTGACATGAAAGCCTCAGCATCAAACATGACAAAGGGAAAATGCTATCTGATGATTAATGTAAATGGTGACAAGGGCTGTGAGCAAGTGTTTATCACCATGACATGTAGCTGCAGAAGCTCCAAAACAGATGCCAATCCTTTTGACAAGTGCCAGCAGAGAGCATCCTGCACCACTAGCAAGATACAATTTTATATGTGATAGTCTTTGCCTTTCAAAATTGGCTTGTGCAGCCTCCAAGAGCAGTGCAGAACTGAACTCAACAGACTTAAAGTGCTAATACTGCATTCCCGCCATGTCTTGTAGGTGGAAGGATGCCAAACAAGATCACTACCCACTTAGCCATTTTAATAAGTAAAATAATAATTTCTCAAATTTTATCTTAGCTTTTCTTTGATTAAATAAACACATTTAACAACATGACCATCGTTACATGGTTCTCAAATCTGTAAAGCACACCAGCTGTAGCCAAAATTAATCTACAATTTCAATTATCCAAATTAATCAAACATTATCCAACCTACACGGTTGGAGATGGATGATGTGATGATCCACTATTTTGGGCACAATAGAATATATACCATTAATTAAGTAAATAATGTTCAAGTTGTTCTTAAAATTTGTTCTACAATATAAAAGAAATGCAAAATTAACCTCTCTCTTCCTTTTTATATTTTTGTTTCTTTTTGTTCTCTTCAATGGCATATTTTCATTCCCAAACATTTTCTTTCAGCATATTGGCACAGTGGCTCAGTGGTTAGTGTTGCTGCCTCAGTGTCAGGGACCCAGGTTTGATTCCACCCTCAGCAACTGTCTGTGTGGAGTTTGTACATTCTCCCCATGTCTGAAAGGGTTTCCTCCCGGTGCTCTGGTTTTCTCCCACAGACCAAAGATGTGCAGGTTAGGTGGATTGGCCATGTTAAATTGCACGTGTCCAAGGATGCGTATGTTAGGTGGATTAGCCGTGGGAAATGCAGGGCTACAGGGATAGGGTGGGGTGGGATAATAGGTCTGAGTTCATGCTGTTCGGCTGGTTGGTGTAGTCTCAAAGGGCTGAATAACCTGCTTCCACACTGAAGGGATTCCATGATTCTATATTGGCTACATTTTCCTTTTCTTTAGCTCCCTTTCATTTTCAACTGATTTTGATCCTCCAGCATTAGACAATGTTTCCTGGCAAAAGGAGGGCAAATGAACTACTCTTGGTCTATAGTGATATTCTTAAGTTAGATATAGTAATATAAACAAGTGCTAACCAAGCGTCAATGATCTATCACCTTTCCTGCCCTCACTGATGGACACGTCCACCTTTATGTACTTTATGTCTATAAATACAAAGAATAGCAAGAATCACCCAGTTATTTCCCAATTCTCCAAGGATGTATATATTACACCATGTTGTAGCAACATGTTGTGTACTCTCACTAGTTTTCTTCATTTGAATCATGGGTAGCTTGAAAACATGCAGATATTCTTGAAGTTTGAGGCATGAGGAGATGGCAAATTTTAAAGTCAATTACACATTTATGCTTCAATGAGTAACTGCTAAAATAAAAATGTCCACATTACCTGCATAAACTGAAATGAAGCTTCAAAATCTTCCACAGGATACATTTTGACCCGGAAGAACTTCATTCCCATAATTAAACTGATAATACTTTGCACAACATGAGGGCTCTGCTCTTTCTGACGTAGTTCCTTCAGTTCAGTCATAAACTTCTTTCTTACTGCCTGAAATCTAAAAATGAATAAATTTATGCATTGCAAATAATTAGAATTGAAAATATAAAGGTCTGCCCAGTGGAAATTGATTACTTCTTACTCAACAAACGCAAATATAGAAAATAGAAATTATGCTCAGGAGACTCAAATAAAACCACCTTGCAATTTATTTTAGTCATATTGAAAATAGAAGTTTTCTCAAACACTTCTGCTTTGATTTGTTTCCAAAAACACTCCTTAGTAACTTCATGGATGAATAAAGAACACATAAAACAATGTCAACAGCAATCCAAAACTACCTCAGATAAAACCCACAGATAGTGTGCGCATACAGCAGTGAAAGCACACTCAAACATTAAAAGACAGGAATGAAATATATAAGCATCTGGCCTTTTATTCCAGACTTTTATTGAATCAAATTTTACTAGCTGCCATGGTGGGATTCGACTCTATTTCACCACAATATTAGCCTGGCCCTCTGGATTATTAGCTCAATTATATTACCACTACACTACCATTATAATACAGACAGTATTCCAGATTTGTTGGAACAAAGATAGCAAATTAAAATATCTTGTGTTACCATCAACTGCCTGGGGATTACTATTGGTAAGAAATGTAACTGCACAAACTAAATAACCACTGTTTCAATTACAAGAGCAGTGAGGAATTCGACTCCTAACTCCCCAAAATCTGTCCACCAGCTGCATCAATTTCCCTGGAAGTGTATGACTCCAACAACAAGCAAGAAGCTCAGCAACTTCCAGAACAAAGGCAGCTGTTTGATTCAGCACCCATCCACTACCTTATATTTCCTCAATGATGGAGTGACAGCAGTGTGCACCATATACAAAATACACAGCAGCAACTTGCCAAGCCTCCTTCAATCATCCCTTTCAAAGGTGCAAACTCTATCTAAGAGGAAAAGGACACCAAACGGATTGGAAGTTCAAGTTTCCTTCCAAGATACACACCATCCTGACTTTGAAATACATACCTTCTCCTTTACTATTGTTGGGTCAAACTGTGAGAAATTGGCTAGTAAAGCATATAGGATCTTAGGTTTTACACAGCATAGAATACAAAAGCAAACAGATTATAATGAACCTTTACAAAATACTGACTCTACTTCAACAGGAGTACCCTGTCCAATTTTGGGGCCCACACTTTAGGAAGCATGTCAGTACATTAGATAGGATGCAGGAAAGATCCACGAGAGCGAGTCTGGGGATAAGGAATTTCAGTTACCTGCACAGATTGGAGAATCTTAGCATATTCTACTTAGAGGAAAGAATGTTGAGGGGAGAGTTGATAAGAGTTGTCAAAAATCTTTACAGCTTGAATACAAATGGGGAGAAACGTTCCCACTAGTGGAAACACCAGGAACTACAGGGCACCAATTTAAGGTGAATAGTGGGGGAAAAAACTACAGCAGTCATGTGGAAAAAAAACTACAGGAGTCATGAGGAAAAATGGTTTTGCACAACAACTGGTTAGGATCTGAAAGCAGGTTAATTTGTTCCTTTCAATAAGGAATGGAATAGAAAAAAAGCTGCAGAGTGACAGGGAAACTGAAGGAAAATGAGACAAGCTGTGCTAAGCTTGCAGAAATCCAGCACAGAAGCAATATGCTGAATAACCTCTTTCTGTTCTGTAACAATTCTGTGATTCTGGTCAGGGAGTTGTCCTGGGCAAAATTTGAGATTAGTACCTGGAAAATTGCAGAAGAAATTACACATTGACAAAATGATTAATCTCCTTACTTTGACTGTGCAAGAACACCAATCACTTCTGCATATAAATCTGCAATAATGTGCATATTCCCAGTGTTGGGTCCTGAATACCTGCAAAAGAACAGAAGGCAGATAAAATGTGATCAGAGAATTTTTTTTTTTAATAAAGGAACTGATACCAAATTTAAACTCCAAAATTAATCCAAATTAGAATTTATAAAATGAACCAAAAATACAATAATACATTTGCACCAGATAAGAATATGCTATGTGAATTAAACATGTGTCATTTAAAGAGTGCTGCACCCAGCAAATCGAGAGTTGCAGCTAAACATAATGCATTTCAATTGCCTCATCCAATGCAAAGCAAAGGTTCCTTAAAAAAAACCCATTTGTATAGGGTTTTATGCAGAAACTTAATTGAGCAAAATAAATCACCAGCTCCAAATTTCGTGAATAGTTTTTGTTAAAGGAGGCAAAACAGAAAATCATAACTCACAAAGTAGTCATTTGTTTTTGTTTTTAAACAAGAAATGCATTGTTTCATCGTGTGAACAGAAGAAAAATCTCCAAAACATTACAGCATTGCTGCAGTCATGAGCTTGATACAGTTACACAACTAATTTGCATGACAATCATGAATGTTGGTGTTTTGGTTTTTTAGAAAAACTACATAGATGGACAAATCTGAAACTGCAATGCTCAAGTTACAATCCTTACATTCAACAGTTAGTGCACTGCAAGCTTCCAATCATCTTAGCATCGTGACTGAATTTTTAAAAAAAGCATTCTTGGTTCCCTTCTCTTGCCAAAATTATTAGGTTAAATTTTTTGGCACACTATGTTCCATGCATTCACATTTCACTCCTTGTGGAAGACAGCCAAGGTTCTATAACACATTAGATGCAATAGATATAAAGAGTAATATCCAATATGAATTTTCAAAGTGTCTCTGGTCACAATATGCTAGCATTCCCTTCAATTCCTTCTCTGATTTTGCTGAATTTGTGATCTCTCATTACAATTCCTCTGCCCATTTAATGTCTCCTACTGTTAACTTTATCAGAATCTTCTTAGCTTACTAAAAAAATGTTATAATTTCTCAAGTTCATAACAGCTTTGCCTTTTATCTGGCAAGTTAAAACATGACCACTTATTCTATCTTACCCTTATTTGCATTCTAAATCTATTAGGAACATAGAATTTACGAGCAGGAGTAGGTCATTTGAGCCTCTGAGCCAGTTAGTTCCACCATTCAATAAGATCACTGAAATGCAGTAGCATCAATGGGTATCATCTACAAGGTGTTCTGCAGGTTAATAATAAATATGCCCCAGAGAAAATTACTTTATGCCTCTGGCCTTTTTCATCTTTTTAAAATCATCCCTGTAAGCAAAGTATTCTTTTCTCAAATTCATCTTTGACATTAGGAAATTTAAATTTCTTAATTATCAACGGAACCGCAGCTTTCAGTACACTCCCTTTTTTTACTTATTGAAAAATAGTGGATTTATACCTTTCCCCTTGTTGAATTATTAAGTTCCCAATCTGTTCTTATGAACTTGCTCTATGTGCATCTTTCAATAAAGTACTTACCCTCGATTAGTATTTTCCTTTACTCGGCTTAAACTGAATCTAATTTTGTTGTAGTCATTGCTTTCCAAATGCTTCCCAATTTTTCAGTAGCAATCTACTCCATACGTGAACTAAAATCTGGTAAAAGAATGATCCTTTGTGGGAGCAGCAACATATTGACTGAAAGAGGGCTGAACATGATACAAAAATTGAATTCCATTTTCTTGATTTCCTATTCCAGTGAGCCAAGTCTCCATGTGGTAGATTGCCTGAAACCCCAGCAGTGGCTACTGGTCTGATAAATCTGCCACTATGAACGCCTTGGAGGGTAGCATTAACCAGAAACTGAACTGGTCCAGCTCCAGGACTCAGGCTGAGTTACACCACTCATGTCACATTGCTACCGCAACCACTGACTGATTCCCTTCAACATTCACTGCTGGTGAGCTTCCCAGCAGCAAATGTGGGAGAGAAATGGCCGCTGATTGGAGGTGCAGCTCCTGTGAAATCTTCCAGCTACACCAGGCCGTATTTTTAACAATGGCTTAAGGGCCACATTAAACCCCTCCACAAGCCTGAACTACAAGGAGTACCTGTAGCTCATCATTAATAAATGTGTACGAGAAAGTTACTTTCATCTTTTTAAATCACCCTTGCAAGCACCAAAATATTTTTATTTTCAAGACAATCTAATTTAATTTCCCTAATTATCAACAGAGCTGCAGCATTTTGTGCACTCCCTTTCTTGTCTGTTGACAAATTAGTAACGTAAGAAAAACGAAGCAGAGCTAGGGGGCTACTGGTCATCTATTTGGTCAGTTGTCAGAGGTAGAATCTGCCCCAAGTTAAACTGAACTCTGCTCTCAGCCAATTAACTGTTAAAATCCATAAAATCAACTCAGATCAACCCAGCCAAGCAGAGGTCACAAAAACATCTCTATTTCCTCAGGAGGCTAAGGAAATTTGGTACGTCCACAAGGACTCTTAGCAATTTTTATACATGCAATCACTGAAAGCATCCAATCTGGATGCATCATAGGTTGGTATGGCAACTGCTCTTCCCAAGACCACAGGAAATTACAGAGTCGTGAACACAGGCCAGGCCATCACGTAAACCAGCCTTCCATCCACTGACTCGAGGAAAGCGACCAATGTAACCAAAGACCCTTTCCACTATTGTTATGTTCTATTCCAGAAGATATAATAGTCCTATTACACGTATGAATAGGTTCAAGAACAGCTTCTTCTCTGCTGTTATCAGATGTTTGAATGGAGCTCTCAAATGTTATTTGCAATCTCTCTCGCTCTCTGTACCTTCTCTGCAAATGTAACACTGTATTCTGCACTCCGTTCTGCTACCCTAATGAACTTTGCACGGTACGATCTGTCTGTATAGCACACAAAACAACACTTTTCATTGCGTTCTGGTACATGTGACAACAATAAATCAATCTATTTTAACAATGTTCTATTTTAATCAATCAGCCTAGATTCCATATTGTTTTGTCTCAAATTCTGTGCATAGAGTCTCAGAGTTGTACAGCATGGAAACAGACCCTCCAGTCTAACTTGTTCAACCAGGTATCATAAATTAATCTAGTCCCTTTTACCAGCATTTGATCTATATCCTCTAAGCCCTTCCAATTCATATACGCATCCAGATGCCTTTTAAATGTTGCAAATGTATCAACCTCCACCACTTCCTCTGGCAGCTCATTCCATGCATGCACCACCCTCTGCATGAAAACGCTGCCCCTTAGATCCCTTTTAAATCTTTCCCCTCTCACCTTAAATCTATGCCCTCTAGTTTTGGACTCTCCTACCCTGGGGAAAAAACCTTGACAATCACTCTATATATACCCCCCATGATTTTATAAACCTCCATCAGGTCACCCCTCAGCCTCTGACACACCAGGGAAAATAGCCCCAAGCCTATTCAGCTGTTCCTATAGCTCAAACCCTCCAACATCCTTGTAAATCTTTTCTGCACCCTTTCAGATTTAATAACTTTTCTATAGCAGAGACCATAATTGCACGCAGTATTCCAAAAGTGGCCTAAACAATGTCTTGTACAGCCACAACATGGCATCCCAACTCCTATACTCAATGCACTGATCAACAAAAACAAGTGTACCAAATGCTTTCTTCACTACCCTGTCTACCCGTGATTCCACCTTCATGGAACTATGAACCTGCACCCGAAGGTCTCTTTGTTCAGCAACACTCCCATGACCTTATCATTATAGTACAAGTCCTGCCATAATTTAACTTACCATCTTGCAACACTTCACATTTATCTAAATCAAACTCCATCTGCCACTCCTCAGCCCATCTGATCAAGGTCCCGTTGTACTCTGAGATAACGTCCATCACTGTCCACTACATCACCATTTCGGTGTCATCTGCAAACTTATTAACCGTTCCTCCTTTATTCACATCCAAACCATTTATACAAATGACAAAAAGCAGTGGATCCAGCACCAATCCTTGGTTACACAAACAGTCACAGGCCTCCAATCCGAAAAACAACCCTCCACCACCACCCTCTGTTTCTTACCTTCAAGCCAATTTTGCATCCAAATGGATAGGAGTCCTTGGATTCCATGTGATTTAACCTTATTAACCAGTCTCCCATGCAAAACCTTGTTCAGTGTCTTGCTGAAGTCCCTAAAGACAACATCCACCCCTCTGTTTTCAATCTGCTACTTCTTCGGAAAACTCAATTAAGTTAGTGAAACATCATTTCCCACACACAAAGCCATGCTGACTATCACTAATCAGTCCTTGCCTTTCCAAATACATGTAGATCATATCCCTTAGAAACCCTCCAACAACTAACCCACCAGTGACATCAGTCTCACTGGTCTATAGCCCTGGTTCCTCCTTTACCATTTTTCTTAAATTATGGTACCACATTAGCCATGGACCAGTCTTTGGACACCTCACTCGTGGCTATCGATGATATAGATATCACAGCAGTAACTTCTCTAGCTTCCCACAAAGTTCTGGGATACACCTGATTAGGTCCTGGGAATTTATCCACCTTTATGCGCTTCAAGACATCCAGCACCACCTCCTCTGAAACATGGACACTTTTCAAGATATCACTGTTTATTTCTCTAGCTTCCATATCCTTCGCCACACTAAATACTGGTGCGATATACTCTAGTACCTCACCCATCTCCTATAGTTCCACATGTAGGCGGCCTTTCTGCTCCATTCTCTCTCCAGTTAAGAGTCAACCACATTGCTGTACATCTGGAGTCCCATGTAGACCAGACCAGACAAGGATTACAATTTCCTTCCTTAAAGGACATTAGTGAACGAGATGATTTTTTCTGACAATCAACAATAGTTTCATGGTTATCATTAGATTCTTAATTTCAGATTTTTATTGAATTCAGGATTTGAACCCAGGTACCCAGAACATTACCTGGGTTTCTGAATAAGCAGTCCAGTGACCTCTCATTACAATTCCTCTGTCTACCCTTTTTGTTGCTTTTATTCCTATTGTTCCTTTTTCTCTTTCTACATGC